GGGCTGGCTGGCATGTGGTGCTGGGGGATTGAACCGCGGTCCCTGGGCTTTGCTAAAGCTTGTTCTAAGTAGGTGCTTTAGACCACTGAGCCATCTCACCAGCCCTTGAATTCACTTTGCAGCCCATGCTGGTCTCAAACTCACAACAATCCTGCCTGTCTCAGTTACTCTTCTCTCGTTGTAGAGACAAGTACCCGACACCCAAAATGAAGGAAGAAAATGTTTGTTTAGCTCACAGTTAATGGAGGTTTCAGTCCTTACTCAACTGGCTCCAAGGCAGAGGGGCACATGCAGTTAATGGCAGCGGAAAACAGGAAGAGTATGTGGGAAGAGTGGCAGCAGTAATGGCTTCCGAGAGCACGTCTGCCTCCTTAAGTCACTTTCAGGCTCTCCGCCCCAGGCTGGGGGCAGCATTCCCACCCATAATCCCAGAGGATCATGCGATGATCACAAACTCTACAAGTGCACCCCATGACTGCATGAGGCTTTGGGGGAACCAGACACGAACCATGACACTGCCTCTGCCTCCCAGGTGCTGGGATTACAGGTGTGCACCACCATGCCTGGCTTCTCACATCTTTTTTATTAGCTTATGTTGGTTATACAAGTTAATGGCTTTCATTTTGGCAGATCTATACGTGCATGTAACATACTTTGATTATTTTAGATGTTTAGGACTGGGGAGATAGCTCAGCGGCACAAGTGCCTGCCTGGCAAGCGCAAGGATGTGTGTTTGATTTCCATTACGGGGGGCCGGAGGGGGGAGGGGATGTTTAGGAAATGCTTGATGAAGTACATAGGCTACCAGGAAAGAGGACAAAGGCCTTAGCCCAGTCATCATAAAGTGGCCACTGAAAATTCCAAAGAGTGGTGAAGTAGTGCTGATTGCTCTGAGCCACTTGGTTAGGGAACTAGGGATGTTTCAACAGTGTGCAAACACACTTATTGGTGTCTTTTTCTTTTCAAGAGGTGCTACTGGGAATAAAATGTAGGGCCTGGGGCTGGTGAGATGGCTTAGTGGTCTAAAGCACCTACTTAGAACAAGCTTTAGCAAAGCCCAGGGACCACGGTTCAATCCCCCAGCACCACATGCCAGCCAGCCCCGCCCCCTGGTGGGCTGAGCTGGCCACACACACACAAATAAATAAATAATTTTTAAAAAATAAAATGTAGGGCCTAATACATAGAAAAGAAGAGCTACCCTGCCAACCTTAACGGGGTCTTTGAATCCTAAGATGAAGAGTTTAGCTTCGGGGCTGGGAAGATTGCTCAATAGAATAAGCACTTACTTGGGGCCGGGGAGATGGCTCAGTGGAATAAGTGCTTCCCTGCAAGCGCAAGGGCCTGAGTTCAATCCCCAGTGTCTCCCCCCCCCCAAAGTTTAGCTTTGTTCAGTCCCACTAAGTTTTCTCTTCAGTCTGTCTTTCTTCAGTCTCAAAAGACATCTAAATTTCATTGTTTTCCAGCGAGATGGCTGTCCGAAGATCGTCAACTTGGGGAGCTCTAAGACAGACCTCTTCTATGAACGCAAAAAATATGGCTTCAAGAAGAGGTGATTGGCAGGTGGCCCCTGCCTCCCCCATGAAGCTGCTGCAGCTGCCAGAAAAGACACCCACACCCACCAGCACAGACCTGGGCCCACCCACCACACTCGCCTGCCCCTGTGCTGCCGCCTCACCACCCTCCCCCCTCCCTGGCACGGGCCGGGGTGGGCTCAGAAGAGGATTCTTCACAGAGCACACCGGCCGGCCACCCAGGGAAAACTGATAGATTAGTTCATGGCTTTCTTTAACTCTTGTGCAGCAAGGCTGTTCTCCACACTGATGTGTTCTCTGTATTCCAGGAGCTAAGAAGCAGGAGTCCCTTCCTTCCGGTCTTGTGACATAGGGCTAACTCTGAAGCCCTCCCTCCCCCAGTGCCCAGCATGTCCCTCAGCAGCTCAGCTAGATGGCAGTTGTCCTTGATGACCCTTCAGAGTGTGGCAGAGAGCTATCAGGACAGTCATTGTGATGCAAGCATTTACTTGTGTAGCACCGGGTGGTGTGGGTTTCAGGTTTTCTTATGAAAATTGGAAGCTCTTTCTGTTGCTATTATATTAATAAAGTTGGTGTTTATTTTCTGGTTTTCACTTTCCCCCCTTGGGAGTTCCTCACATTAGCAATTTTTTTTCTTCCCCCCCCCCCCAACCAGGGATTGAACTCAGATCCTTGCATTTGCCAGTCAAGTGCTTATCCTACTGAGCCATCTCCCTGGCCCCAGCAATTTATTTTCATTATCCAAAAAATTGTTGGCTCAAGGGAAGATGGCTCAGTGGAATAAGCGCTTCCCTGGCAAGTGCAAGGGCCTGAGTTCAATCCCTGGTTCTGCCAAAAAAAAAAAATTGTTGGCTCAGGCCAAGGATATAGCTCAGCGGTACTGTGCCTGCCTGGCAAGTGCAAGGTCCTGAGTTCAATTCTCAGTACCAAAAAAAAAAAAAGACTTGTCGACTCAACAGGCGTAGGGGGATTCATAAAGTGCCCTGTCCAAGAAATACTACTGTGACTAGTGTTGAAGCACACACCTGTAATCCTAGCACTCCAGGAGGCTGAGGCAGGAGGATGGTCAAGAGTTGAAGACCTGCCTGGGCTACAAAGTGAGCTCAAGGCCAGCCTGAGCTGCATAGGGAGACTGTCTCAGAAAAAATACCACTGAATGATATTCAAAACCACCGAGTCCTTCATGGTTGGTAAATCAGGCATTTTTAGAAACTGTCCTCTCCTGCACTGTAGTTTGAGTTCTGAACTGGAGAGCTTGCAGTCAAGAGTGAGACCATGAAATGGATGAGTTGGGACCACTCAGCTTTGCTTCAGAGTGTGCACATACGCTCACTGTCAGGGTACCTAGTCCAATTCTGACCTGGGCAATGACAGGCACTCCTTTACCCCAACTGGGTGAGGCTTTGGTGTAGTGCAGGTTTTGTCTTGTGTCAGCGAAGGTTACTTACGCACTGAGTGTCCACAGTGAACCTGGCCTCTGCCTCAAGAACTGCCAAAAGGGGCTTGACTTCCTGCTCAACCCAGAGAAGCCCAGGAAGGGGCTTGGTCTCACCTGGGGGTACCTCTGAGGCCTGGGATCTGCCACAGCCACCCAGGCTCCTTTTGTGTTGCTCAACTGCTGCTTTGCATTTTGCCTCTGTTATTTTTTAATCTGCTGTGTGATGCTCCCCACCCCCACTGCTAACTTCTGGTCCATTTCTCCCCAGCCTGCAACCTACATCCCCCTGTACTCACACTGGTGGCCCTGGTGTCCTCTTGAAGCTGCAGGAACAAAATAACATTGTGTTTGGCCAAGCAAGTTGCAGCTGTTTAGTGTTGAACAGAAGTCAAGGAAACCAGATAATAAATAACCTAAGGTTTCAAGGATATGTAAGAACAAATGGGCAAAGGTGGACCATAAGGAGATTGTGGGAAACTGCCTCAGCAAAGGTCTCCCATCAGTGAGGGGCTTAGAAAGCTTAGCAGTTGTCAGGGGCCTGCCCCTTAGCTCAGTTCTTTAAGTGGCTGCTTCCACAAAGTAGTCAGGCTCAGTTTGCTGTGGTACACGTAACCCCAGCACCCAGGAGGCTGAAGCAGAAAGATTCCACAAGTTTGAGGGCAGCATGGGCTATATAGGGAAACCCTGTCACACACACCCAAAAGAATGTACCAATTTTACACATAGGTAAAATCAGGAATTTTAGTATCAAAAAGGACATAAATCAGATTATTTTCAGATAAAAGTTGAAGGGGCCAGGGAGATAGTTCAGTGGAATAAGTGCTTCCCTGGCAAGCCCAAGGGCCTGAGTTCAATCCCCATTTCCACCAAAAAAAAAGCTGAAGCTGATTTTATGTTAATTCTAGTCTTAATATGAAAATGTGGGCTGGGCATAGTGACACACACCTATTATTCCAACACTCAGGGAGGATAGTGGCAAGTTTGAGGCCAGCCTGGGCTACATACTGAGTTCAAGACCAGCCTGAACTGCATAGTGAGACCCTTGTCTAAAAAAAAAAAAGATTCAACTATAATATGAAAATGTTTTGGGGGGAAAAAAAAAAAAAAAGGAAATCCTCTTGGGGCTGGGGAGATAGCTCAGTAGAATAAGTGCTTGCCTGACAAGCACAAGGGCCTGAGTTCAATCCCCAGTTCCGCCAAAAAAAAGCTTCCTAGGATGTATGTACTTGCTGGGCAAGTGCTGTACTATGGAGCTGGATCCCTATCTTTCAGCTGTTTACTGGCCACCTTGGTTCACAGATTAAATCTACACATCTTTCCTTTTTTTTTTTTTTTGGCAGAACTGGGGATTGAATACAAACCTTTCAAAAGCTATTTGGACTGAGTTCAATCCCTAGTTCGGGGCGGGGTGGGGGGTAGAAAAACAACTATCTGGGGGGCCGGGGAGATGGCTCAGTAGAATAAGTGCTTGCCTGGCAAGCGCAAGGGCCTGAGTTCAATCCCTGGTACGGGGCGGGGTGGGGGGTAGAAAAACAACTATCTGGGGGGCCGGGGAGATGGCTCAGTAGAATAAGTGCTTGCCTGGCAAGCGCAAGGGCCTGAGTTCAATCCCTGGTTCCACAAAAAAAAGAAAGAAACTTGGGACCTAGGGCTTTCCAGGCAGGCACTATGAGACTCACTTTTGATCCTTCTGCCTCGCCCTCCTTCAATGCTAGGATTATAGGCATGTGCCACCACACCTGGTGTGACTCTGCCTGCAGAAGGCCTCCAGACAGTTTCAGGTTAACGCCCAGGAGGATCTAAAAGGCCTTTTTTTTTTTTTTTTTTTTTTTGGCAGAACTGGGGATTGAACTCAGGCCCTTGTGCTTGCCAGGGAAGCGAGTGCGCGCATGCGTGTGTGTACGTGCGTGTGTGTGTGTTCCTCGAATGCCTTCAGGGCACTTTTGGCCAGCTGGAGAGTTGTGAGATTCGAACTCCAGCAACCTGAGGCTGACAGCTTTGTGGAAGCAGCCACTTAAAGGACTGAGCTAGGGCCAGGCCCCCTAAAAGGCCTTTTACAGGATGGGCCGTGGAGCGAGTTCAACTCTTGCCCCATGAAGTCCCCTAACGCCTGATCCCCTGTCATCTACTCTTTTTTTTTGCAGAACTGGAGATTGAACTCAGGGAAGCGCTTATTCTACTGAGCCATCTCCCGGCCCTGTTTTCTTTCTGATTACCACAGACCAAGAGATCAGAAACAGCTGGGTACAGTGACATATGCATGTAATCCCAGCTATTTGGGAGGCTGAGACAGGTGGATTGCAAATTCAAGGTCATTCCATACAATTACCATGACCTTGTTTCAAAATAAGGGCTGGAAATCTCTCTGTTAGGGTACCCCTGGGTTCAGTGTCCACTACAACCAAAGGGGGGAAGAGAGGGAAAAAAAGAGAGAAGAAGAAGCAGTTAAAAGTCACAGGATAAAAAAACAGACTATGGTGGCACACACCTGTAATCCCAGCATCAAGGAGGCTGAGGCAGGAGGATCACTTGAGTTCAAGGCCAGCCTGTGCTACAAAGTGAGCTCAAGATCAACCTGAACTACAAAGCAAGAACATCTCAACAAAAAAAAAAAAAAAAAAACGGGCCGGGGAAATAGCTCAGTAAAATAAGCGCTTGCTGGCAAGCGCAAGGGCCTGAGTTCAATCCCCGGTTCCGCAAAAAAAAAAAAAAAAAGGTATTGAACAATACTTTCTTCGCCACCTTGGTATTAGTAAAATAAATTAAATTTTAAAAATCAGTATAGGAAAAAAAAATCAGTATAGGAGACTGAAGCAGGAGTATCATTTTGGAGGCCAGGAAGATGGCTCAGTGGAATAAGTGCTTCCCTGGCAAGCGCAAGGGCCTGAGTTCAATCCGTGGTTCCGCAAAAAAAAATCAGGATAAAACAGGGTGCACTAGGTCCTGAGTTCAATTCCTGATACCAAAAATAAAGAGCTAAAGGGCCAGGGAGATGGCTCAGTGGAATAAGCGCTTCCCTGGCAAGCGCATGGGCCTGAGTTCAATCCCTGGTTCCACAAAAAAAAAAAAAAAAAAAAAAAACAAAGAGCCAAAATGTAACTCAGTGTACCTCTGGGCTTGAAACCTACCCGCCTACCAAAAAAAAAAAAAAGGCAGCCTGGGCGATTGAGTGAAACCCTGTCTAGAATTAAAAGTGGGATGATATAGCTCAGCGGTAGAGCACTTGTCCACCATGCCAGAGGCTCTGGACTCACAAAAACAAACAAACAAACAAAAAAAAAACTAAGGCTTTAAACAGTGTACCGACTTCTCTGAATTTTGCTCAGGTTATACAGTTGCGTGAAGAGGCTTAGAGTAAGGATCTCCACCAACCGGCTATGGCCACAGAAAAGCAGGCAAGTCTTGACAATTACTGGTGTTCATCTTCCTTGTTGAAATAATCACTACCTACACAGGTCTAGTCAAAATAATTGAACTGATCATGGTCAGCCCTTCCCTCTCCTTGATGTATGATTATAATTATGAGTATTTCTGTTATTAGTCACTTATAAGGTACTGAGTGTTGGGTCAGTTCTGGGCTCTAACAAGCTGTGTGCTCCCAGCATGGCACCCGTGTGAACTCTGCACACAGACATGCCGATTTAATCTCCTCTGCACGTTTTAGGGTCTCTGTGTGCTGCTTAGGCTGACCTCAGACCCGGCCATCCTCTTGCCTCAGCCTCCTCCTAAGTAGCTGGATGACAAGTGTGTGTCACCGTGGTGGCAACCCTGCCCTTTTTACATGCGCTCTGACTCCAGCAACAGCTATTAATGAGAAATGTGTGGGCTTTGCAATCAGATTTGTATTTAAATCCTGCTCTACTAGCCTTTAGCAAGTCAGTCAGTCTGTGTTTTTGGGTAATGCCTACCTCTTCAGGTGGGGAGGCTTCGGCCGTAGTGCACAACCCTACTGAGATTTATTATCAAAATGGTGAGGTCAGGCAGCATGTATACTAAACTGGTCAGGTTTGGGCCTTTTTTTTTTTTCTTTGTAGTACTAGACATTTAACCCAGGGCACACCACTCAATCTCTCATTTTGAGTGACAGCCCTACCACTCCCTTTAAGAATTTTGAGTCAGGGTCTCCCTAAATTGTTTAGGCTACCCCAAGTTTACAACCCTCCCGCCTCAGCCTCCCAAGTAGCTGGGACCAAAGGCATGTGCTATTAGGATAGCTAAAAGTGGTAGCTCTTTCACAGTTGGGCCCTACTTCGTCAGTAAGTTTTAATTCCTGGCACTGAAGAGTCTAAATGGTTCATTGTCCTCCTACCCCCAAGGTGTTCTTTCCCCTCTTCCCTGTGGTCCTCCGTCAGCCCTTGCACAGGCCAGGCTCCTGCTCAGCTGTTTTCTTTGCATTCCTATCTCCAGGCAACTCAGTATCCCTTCATTCCAGCCCCCTCCTTCACAAATGCTCCTAGATGCACTGAACCCCACAACCCTGGCATTACCTTCATGTCTAATAGCCACACAATGCAAACTTCTATGATACAGCACTTTCTGTGTATACTGTACTTATATTCATTTTCTTCCATTCCATCCTAAGATTTCTGGCTGAAATTCACTAACTTGGGCTATTTTACAATCTCAGGAAAAGGTGACAACTCCAAATTCAGAAACTATTTGTTGGGGCTGAGGAGATAGCTCAGTGACGTAAGCGCCTGCCTGGCAAGTGTAAGGTCCTGAGTTTGATCCCTGGTACTACAAAAAAAAAAAAAAAAAATTTGCTTGCTAGGAACTTAGCAACTCAAGAAGCTAAAGCAGGAAGATGACTTGAGCCCAAGAGTTCAAAGCCAGCTTGAGCAACATAGTGAGACCTCATCTAAAAAAATGAATTGAAAAAAAAAAAAAGCTGGTCATATAGCTCAGTGGTACAAGCGCCTATCTAGCAAGCTCACAGGCCTCAGTTTGATTCCTGGTACAAAAAATAAAACAATCAGATCAGGCCAGGGAGATAGCTCAGTGGAATAAGTGCTTTGCTGGCAAGCACAAGGTCCTGAGTTTGATCCCTGGTACTGAAAAAAAAAAAAATCACATGAGCCTTGATATCTAGGGTTGCAACTGAAGTTCTGTGGTAAAGCCTTTGCCTGCATTCACAAGGCTCTGAGTTCCATCCACAACATGACACATGAAAAGAAAAGCCTCATCAGGCACAGTGGGACACACCTGTGATCTCAGAACTAAGGCTGAGGCAGGAGGAGCACCATGAGTTGGAGGCCAGCCTGGGCTATATACTGAGTTCAAGAACAGCCTGCACTACATAGACCCTATCTATAAATAAATAAATAAATAAATAAATAAATAAATAAATAAAATGTATCTCTTTTTGGTTCTCTCAAAAAAATGTTTGTGGGGCTGGGGAGACGGCTCAGTAGAATAAGTGCTTGCCTGGCAAGTGCAAGGGCCTGAGTTCAATCCCCAGTTCCGAAAAAAAAAAAAAAATTGCTTGTTATATTGAATTAAAAGAAGTCCACAGACCCAGGAGTCTGACAAAGAAATAACTGATTGAAAAGAGAGGGGTGTAAGAAAAATAGCCCGAAGGCCGGGGAGATGGCTCAGTAGAATAACCGCTTGCCTGGCAAGTGCAAGGTCCTGAGTTCAATCCCCGGTACTGCAAAGAAAAAGAAAGAAAGAAAAAAGAAAAATAGCCCCAGTGTGATTTTTACATGATGCCGATTGACTCTGAGCCTCAAGGTCTGCCAGGCAACGGGGAGTGGTAGGGACTTTGGGCAACCAGAGAACATGGGCTATGTGCAAAGAAGACAGCTGTCTTCAGCACTATATGGTGCCCGGGCGTGATGGCACCCGCCTGTAATTCCAGCACTTGGGAGGCTGAGGCAGGAGGTTTGTCAGGAGTTCAAGACCAGCCTGGGCTACAAAGTGAGCTCAAGGGCAGCCTGCACTACATTGTGAGACCCTGTCCCAATAAATAATAAATAAATATATAAAAATCACTACGCTGGCGTGTGCATATGAGAGTGACTCGCCCTAAGAGTTAATTGGGGCCAACTGTGACCAGCCTGACTTGTCATTAGCACCAAAACATCTGGCACAACCCGCTTTGCCCTGACAGAAGTTGACCCCGCCCTCCCCTCCACAGCTCACCATTTTGAAAGCACGGTGTGGACCTCTCAGCATTTGAAACAGAAGATGAATCTCGAATGCTGGAGTAGGAATTTAGCTCCCAGTCAACCCCTGGCAAAATGAAATCACAGGCTGGGAACAGAAAAAGCTGCCTTCTTGCCACATGAGAAATGAGAGACATCAGCAGTGAAGAAAGGTGATTACCTTTCCTCTCTTTATTTCAGCCTTTCCTTTCTATATAGTAACCTTTTGCCCAAAGCTCCTGTTTGCCGAGGAGCCTGGATTCCTGCTTTGTGTTAATAATGCTGCACAGGACGGGTGTGTATTCAGCACCCCAGGAGAAATTCAAATAAAATCACCCTTACCAGAAATTCAACACCTTCCCCGTAGGGATCTAGGCTGCCCTCATATTCCGTCTTTTTTCCCAGAGATACCCGAGGACAACTCACTCCAACGCACCCTCAACCTTTCTCATCATTCTGTCCAAGAATTTTTGCCATTTCGAAATACACACCAATTGAGCCCAGCATATGCAGAATAGGTGGGATGCAGTTTAGTGTTAAGAATAGAAACTATTTTAGCTAGACTTTTATATACAGTACATCTAAACCCCACATGATCTCTATTTTTGCAGAGGAGGACACTGAGATTTGGAGATGCTGCATTAAATTAAGAGCATACAGTAGGAGGCAGAACAGGAATATAAACCCACCTAGTCCATGGCTACCTCTAATGAACAACTACAAATACCAGCATCCCTCGCTATGACCCACGACGCAAACGCGCACTGCTCAGGGCCCGTTCCTAGCTGAACCTGAAACCCAATCAGCGCTGTGGTGCCGTGCTCTCCAACCAATAGGAAGGTTGTTGCTAACGCACAGGTTATATTTTTAGCTAAGGCGGCTCTGGCGTAGCGGGGAGCGGGGGGTGGCGCTGTCACTGCTAGAGTGGAACTTGCATAGAGAGGAGAAGCAGGCGGGAGGCGAGGAGGAGAGAGGAAGGGAGGGGAGGGTGAAGCGAGGAAAGGCGGAAGGGGGCGTGTGTATGACGCTCAGCTCCACGCTGACGCACGAAGCAAGTAGTCCCTAGAGGTGCCCCGGGGCCGAACGCTCTGCGCGTGGGGGATGGGGACTCTCTCGGGCTACACTCCCACCCTCCTCTCTCTAGAGTTTGCCCTCTAGCGTGGCCATTCTTTGTTGCCGTCAAGGAGAGTGCTTTTCAGTCCCCACGCTACCACTGCTCTCCGCCCTGGCCAAAAACGGTGATCAAGGAAAATAAAATACAAACTGCCTGTAACTGGAAACTTTCCGATCTCACCACCCCACGTGGGTTTGGAGGCAGCCGCTGGGCCGGAACCGACAAGGATGAGAAGGGAGGAGGGGGAGAGGACTGAAGAAGGGGCGCTCTAAGGAGGGAAACGACTTCCGGCTCGAGTCCCCTCTTAGGGGACTCGCAGTCTGGTAGTATATCCTCCTGTGACCAGAGCACAGTACACAGCTCTTCTATCCCTATGCCTCAGTCACAAAAGGCAGAGTGACCTGCATGGCCAAAGCCCGGCCAGAAGGCCCGATCATGCAGGCCTTGAACGCCCGGTCTCGGATTTGGGGAAACTTGTGTCGCCACCCAAGGGATCTTGGGGCGTGCAAGCCCGGCGCTCCCCCCCCCCCTGCCGCTGGCTACTGCTAGAAATGTGGCTTGTCTTTCCTTATTCCTTACGGGGGTCGCCAGTCAGGGAGAGCAAACGTGGACTCCCTAGAGGGAACGCTCGCGTGGAGCTGGTGCCCTGCCCACCCTCTCGTGGTGCGAGGAAACTGGGGCCGGGAGGCGGCGATTTAAAGGTTAATCGTGGTGCTCGGCTCCTCTTCCACCCGCACAGCTCGTCCTGGACCCCAGCCCCCCCCCCACGCCTCGCATCGCGCGTTCCCCGACGAGGCGCGCGGCGCTCACTCAGGTCAACCCGAGTCTATGTCCGAAATGTTTCCTGAACTCGCATCTTGTCCCAACCCTGGTGCGATCGCCGCGGGGACAGCGGAAGCCCCAGTCGGAAAGGCGTCTGCACCTTGTGGCCTGGGCGAGGGATCAGTGCCCTGTGCGCCCAGGCAGGTGTAAGGCTGAAATGTCGGCGGAGGACTCGGGGGACCAGAGGATGTGGGCTTTTCCCCGCGACATCCACTCATCCGGCGCAGCTACTGTGAGCGCCCACCGTGTCGCTGCCCTTGCAGAGCTCGGGTCCACCTGGGGAAAACACCTTACAACGTGAGCGAGGGTTCAGACAGTGGCTGAGAATCTGAAGACAAGAAATATGGCGCAGTGGTGCTGGGATTAGGAGGGAAAGGAGAAAGGCCTGGGAGGGAGATGGCAGGCGATCGGTTTCGGAGCCGAGCCGCACCCTCAAGCGCGAGAGGACAGCCCAACAACCGGCTGGAGCCCTCGCCCAACGCCGGGCACCAGCGGGTTAAGCTCCGCAGGCCAGGAAGTAGTCCCGGCTGTGCACCCGGCCCCGCCCCGGCAGGGCGGAGGGACGCATCACGCAGGGGTGGGGAAGCCGGATCCATGCGCAGGGTTGCTAAGGGTGAAACTTTTCATTGACTTTGCTCACTTCGAGCCGGGGCGCGGGAAGGTGTGGGTCGCTCGCGGAAACCAGCCAGTGCCTCGGACGACGCGGGGGCGAGAAGAGCAGCACCGGTCGCCGGCCACAAACCGGACCACCCTCCTCCCCGCGACGCGAGCCACCCCGCGGTCCACCATCCCCACGCCGCCTGCCCGGCCGGCCGCCCGCCCTCCGTCCCCCGCCGCGAAGCCGACGTCCGAAAGAAAGAGCGGAAAGGAGAACATTGAGGGTCATAACCCATCATTCCCTTCTCGGCCCCAAACCTCTAGGAAAAAAAGAGCACAGCTGTCCCCGGCCTCTCGGTGCCCAGGAAAACAGGGAAAGCGACCCCCGGCCCGCGCTCAAGACCACCGTGGCAGGAGAAGCGGCCCCGTCGGGGCGGAGACTCGAGTGAGTGCTGGGGATGCGGGGGCCCGCCGACGCCCCCGGCCCGAGCGCCTTCCCTTACCCGCTCCACGCCTGCTCTTGGCTGGGGGGGCACTCCACGTCGGTGTCGCCCCCTCCCTCGCCTGATCAGCATTTTCCTTTTCCCGTCTAGTTTCTCTCAACACTTTCTTTTTTCTTGTGCTTTTCTCTGGTTCTGGGGTACCCAGAGCTCTTCTCCCAGTTCCAACAGTGGCCCTTCCTGGGTGGGGTGCATATCTGTCCTTGCCTCCATTTCCAGCTCTCCGTATCCCAAATAACTAAATTTTCCTTGCTCTCCAAAGAAACGACTCGCACCAATGTTAAATAAATTAGAGAAAGGAAGGGGAGATACAAGCCTTGTTGCTTTTTTTTGTTTTTGTTTTTGCTTCTTTTCCCGTGTACGGGGAAGGGGAGGTGGTAATTAGTATTTCCAGCTTTAGCCAGCCCCAGGGATGGAGTTAGACACCGTTTTTGGCGATCGGACCGACTTGTGGAGATTAGCTTTGGGCTACTGAGCCTGAATTCATTCCAGTTTGAGCTCTTTATCTTCTTCTGTGCTTTAAGGGAAATCTGGGCAGGGAAAAAAAGAAGTACCGTAGAACCTTGCCAGTGAGTGGGTTTTGCATGATCTCGGTGGAGTGTCTGGGAGGAAGGACCCAACTCCTGAACTCCTTCCCCACCTGTCCAGAGGCTGGGTTGTGGCCTTGACCAGGAACGGAAGGAGGGAGGAGAAAGAAGGGTAACCTGCAGGGCTTCCCCTCCCCCTGGAGCAACCGGAACCCCACACTTTGGGTTTCAATGTAGGGCCCAGCAGACGGTCTCAGGTGCCTGTGTAGGGCCTGACCTAGCTTTTTCCCCCTGCTTTACCTACCCAGTTCTGGGAGTGGATTCTCGTCTTTGATTTCCCTGTAGAAAAACAGCCCGCTTGCATTCTTGGGCACCTGCCCCCATCCCTCTCTTGAGCATTGGGAAAAGCAGCTTGTGTGGGAGGAAGGATTAGGGAGGTTTAACACCATGTAGGAGAGCTTTGCGGAGGATATGGTAAATCTGGTGGAAGGGTAGGCCTAGCAGTGGAAATTCACAAATTGAATTTTCACTATACAGCAATATACAGCATTCTTTTTTTTTTTTTTTTTTTTTTTCATTCTTTCTTTCTTTTTTTTTGAGACAGGATTTCGATGTAGTTGAGACCCATCTTGAACTCACTGCCTAGCCCAGGCTGGCACCGAACTCACGGTCATCCTCCTGCCTCAGCCTCCCTAGTGCTGGGATTACAGGCATGCACCATCACGCCCACCTGTTCAGGTTTCTGGTGTAGTTTTTCTTTTCCTGCTCAGGAACCTTTTCCTCGTCCGTCCGCCCAGATCTGGTTACTCAGACTTGGATTAGAAGTGGGGTGAGGTTTGGGCCCTGCTGGCGCCTGGCCTTCTAATTGTCCTGCAGGCGCCAACCCACAGCTTAAGTGGGAATTTCTTTGGCCAAGAGGACCAAAGAACTCGGTCTAATTCTTGCCTTTCCTTTCCTGGCTGTGGAAGTGCTGGAGCCAAGCCCACTGGGCATTAAATAAAAAAGGTTCCTTTCTCTCAGGATCCACTGTCCCTACAGCAACGCCAGACGGCGACTGTCCAGTCCAGCCATGGAATTTAGATCAAAAGTCAGTGTTGGCGGCGCGGTTGGGGGACGTGGCCTTATCTATCCAGCCCACACCCTTCACTGGTTGAGGGGGGTTCCTTGCTAAGGACTAATTCAGCAGCCGCCTCTGGGAGAATGTGAAGAGAAAGGGCAGAAAGTTAAACCCCTCGTAAAACCTAGCCGCGGACGCGGTGGGGCGATGCACCCTGGCGAGGAGGGCTTGTAGGTAGCTTTATGCGAAATATCTTAGGCGATGGGAGGGGGTACCGTCCGCTGCAGCGCGCATGTGCGTCGGAAACTTTTCTTTGGCTGCGGTGGCTCCCGACCCCCAGCCCAGTCCCCCAGCCGGGCATGCGCGGTTCGCCGGCGGCCTTGCTGGGCGCGCCGGGAAGTGTGGTGTGCGCAGAAGTAGGTCACGCGCCGGCGCGCGAGGGGCTGGCGGACGGGGCTCCCAGGGTGCCGAGCGGCGCCCTCCGCCGCGCGCGGGGCGAGGCCGGGCTGAGGCCGGGCCCCCGGGTCGGGGCCTGGAGGAGCGCCAGTGGGCTAGGCTTGAGGGCCATAACACGAGACGGGGCGGGGCGCAGACACCCAAGTCCTGCAGCTATTCACCCCACGTCTTTGCCGCAGAGTGGGGCCGCGGCCTGTGTTGACCGTCTCTGCCGGGGCAACAGCTCCACGGACTCCCTCGCACTCCGACCCCTGCCCTTTCCCCGCACCCCTTTATTGAATCCAGGTACATGACTGGAGTGCTTGGCTGTAGGATGTTGTAGATGCTAAGCGTTTGAGATGTCCGTATCTTCCATTAGGTTTTGAGCCAAACTGATTCGCCTTTGTCTTCTTGCCCACTCACGCAGGGAATCAAACCTAGAGCCTTGTACATGCTAGGCAAGTGCCCTACCACTGAGCACACCCCCTCCTTTCTCTTTTATTTTATTTTTTATTTTATTTTTTTGGTGGAACGGAACCAGGGATTGAACTCAGGCCCTTGCGCTTGCCAGGGAAGTGTTTATTCCACTAAGCCATCTCCCCGGCCCTCCCCTTTTTAAAAAATTTTATTTATTTTATTTTTTGTGGAACCAGGGATTGAACTCAGGCCCTTGTGCTTCCCAGGGAAGCACTTAAGCCACTGAGCCATCTCCCCGGCCCCTGCCCTTTTTTTTTTTTTTTTAATAAAAAACTTTTTTTTTTTTTAATTTTATTTTTTTATGTGTGTGTGTGTGTGTGTGTGTGTGTGTGTGTGTGTGTGTGTGTGGCCAGCTCAGCCCACCAGGTGGCGGGCTGGCTGGCATGTGGTGCTGGGGGATTGAACCGCGGTCCCTGTGCTTTGCTAAACTTGTTCTAAGTAGGTGCTTTAGACCACTGAACCATCTCACCAGCCCCAATACAAAACTTTTTTAAAACAGTCTTGGATTTAAAAAAAAAAAAAAAAAAACCTTCTTGGCACTTGGCACTCTCAGAAATTCACAAAAATGTGCATTGATTGAGGCCTTCAGCTTCATGCCCCCCCTTTATTTTATTTATTTACTTTTATTTATTTATTGCTGTACTGGGGATTGAACTCAGAATTCTGTGCTTGCCAGGCAAGCCCACCCCCTTTCTCTTAAGCATGTGGGGTTCTTTTTTTGTTTGTTTTTTGTGCAGGGTCTCACTATGCAGCTCAAATTCCTAGTGATCTTCCTGTTTTCAGCCTCCCCAGCTCCCCAGCACTGGGATTACAGGTGTGTACCATCTCCCGGACTAAGCATGTAATTCTTTTGGGGAGGGGGCAGAACTGGGGATTGAACTCAGGCCATTGCACTTGCCAGGCAAGCACTTATTCTACTGAGCTATCTCCCCAGTCCTAAGCATGTAATTCTTTGAAGCAAAAGTTAGCATCGGGGATGTTAATCCAGGTTTAACTTTGTGGCTGGATTAAACAAGTGAAGGAAATAAGATTATTAATGAACCTGGGAAGCATTTATATTTGCAGCTTTTAAAGACATTGACAAAAAGGGAGATTTCCTTTCCTTGCCCAGGTACCTTTTCTGGACTTTGGTTGGAAAAAAGATCTTGAGTCTTCTGCAGCTGCTTAACAAATCTTACTTATTTGTTCTATTGAAGAATGATTATTCTAAGCCTTCCAATCTTACCACACTTCTGTAAATATTTTGTATATAAGCTTTAGAGTATGTCTGTAGCTTTCTAATAAATGGACAAACTCACCTGAATGGTCACTCCTATCTTTAGCTAAAGACAGGACATCACCAGTGCTTTAATCTTCTGCTCCATAAGCTTCTTGAAGTCAAAATTAGACCCTGAGCTGATAGAGCAGAAAATCTCATTCTGGTCCTCCGGCATTTTTGTAAGGTTCCACCCCACAACCATCTGGCCTGGCCTGTTCTCCAGTTAAAGAGCTAAAGGTGGCATTACAGGCTTCCTTATTTGTGCAGCACCGTCTCTTGAGGTCTGAATTGGTGTGCAGCTTTAGTTGCTTATGCTGCAGAAAATGGTTCGCTGGGCCGGGCTGATGACAGTGCTTCTATTGTATTTGGGGTGGGAGGCTTGTTTCCCAATGACTTTGGCCTACATTTAAAATGCTTGCGTTTTGAGGCTGAATTGTTCAGGGGCTGTAAACTTGGAAGGTAATTACACAGTAAAGTTTAAGAGGCCTAGGAAGGTGTCGAAGTCATTTGGACTAGTCTGAAGACCAAGAGGCTACTCAGTATCTTGGTTGTTTCTTTTTCTTTTCTTTTTTGTGGAACCAGGGATTGAACTCAGGCCCTTGCACTTGCCAGGGAAGCGCTTATCCTACTGAACCATCTCCCCAGCCCATACTTAGTACCTTGGAAGAAGTATCCTTTGCCGATTTTACTTTTCAAAATTTCTTTGGCTTCACCATCCTTAACAATGTGTCCTTTTTCGTTGTTTTTCTCTTTTAGAGGCAGGGTCTTGCTATGTAGTTCAGGCTGGCCCTGAGCTCACTTTGTAGTCCAGGCTGATCTTGAACTCTCAATGATTCTTCTGCCTCAGCTTCCCAAGTATGAGATTTCCCCACCACCACCACCACCAGGGATTGAACTCAGGCCCCTGCACTTGCCAGGCAAGCATTTATTCTACTGAGCCATCTCCCCAGCCCCTACTGTTCTTCTCTTTTAAGCCTAAAAGGACATTGGAATTGGTCTGCCCTGGTCATGAGTAGACATCTGCAGAGCTGGGCAGACCAAGACTTGGAGGCTGGAAAGGAGAAGCAGGGCTTCCTGAATGCTGAGGCTTCGGTGGCCGGCTCAGGAGATGGATGTAGGTGCCTCTGCTGCCTCTGTAACCCTCTCTGTGGCCTCAAATCTGGAATAACACTTGGACTTCATCAAGCCACTAACCTTTGCTGCTCCAGACTGACCCACAGGTCTCAGATGCATTCACCCCAGAAATCTAGTTTCCTGATGATTTAGTCCTGAAAGTACCATGGACTGGGGGCTGAGAGTTACAGGGAAAGGTGCTGGCTGGGCCGGGTCTCCAGTCCTAGTTTCATACCTGCATCCTAATTGCTCCTGCCTGGGACCAGAGTAAGTGACTCACAACCCAGCCCCGAGCCTGTCATAGGCCTGCAGTTGCCCTTGCTGGGTCACGGCTCCCTCTTGTGTTTCTGCGCTGAGCTTAGCAGCAGCACAGCCACCCCTGCGGTCTGCCTGGGTCTCATCCTCGCCCTGCCCCCTTTAGTGGGCCCTTTTCCAGCTCGGAGTCTTCTCAAGCATGGGTCTGGGAGCCCCCCCTTTGGGGGAACATTTGATTAGGCTGCCTGGCCCTCAAGACCTCACAGATCATCTTCCTGAAACCTGAGGCTGGCCTGGGCCACTGCCTAAGCCTTTCTGCCCTTGAGGGCATCTGGCTGCAAGAATCCCAAAATATCCAGCCTTGTTTATCTTGGCTGCCTCCTCCAGGGATCTCCGAACACTTGACAAATCTGACCCTGTGCCAAGGACAGGTGGGCAGACTGTCCCTGAGAGACCGAGTAGTGACGGATCCCCAGCTGCTGGCTGGAAGGTGATGGAAATTTCTTCTCTGCTCTTTCCTGTGTGTGTGTGTATTGGGGGAGCCTTCAAGTGCTGCCCTTTACACTGCTGCCCTCCAGGCCCTGCTTTCCCTTGCATCAGTCCCCTTGGTGGCCCACTTTCTTGGGTGGCTTTGGTCACACTGGGAGTCAGGAAGGCAGTTTGCAAAGCCAGACTGAGCTGAGCATGTGCAGCCATGGGACCCAGGAGGACAGATGGGTATGAGTGGCAGTAGAAAGTTGCCGGTGCTCCTTCCTGTGTGTTGACCTGTATGCCTGTCCATGGAAGGACACCCGTAGATCGTACGTTTCCATCTTGGGCTGGCGCAGTTTCACCAAAACAGCAAGAAACGCCCACCCCTTCTCTGGGTGAGACCAGGTGTGGTGGCACATGCCTGTAATCCCAGTTCTGGGGAGGCTGAAACAGGAAGATCACTACCAGTCCAAGCTACATAGTAAGACTCTGTATCAAATACATTAAAAAAAAAAAAAATCTCTCTGGGTAATAGC